CGTAATTAGAAACAACACTAAAAACTATTTCTGGGCCTGTTCCTATGGAGGGAACTTGACCCGCTCGGTGCTAGTCAAACCCCCCTATACCCCCTAGCCATGTGGCAGTGGATTCCTGCAGGGTCGGAGTAAATACAGACCCCATAAGTATTGCTGCTATGTGACAAAGGGTTCAATGGACGAGTGCAAGTAATTCACAACTATGTTTCAGTGGAGCGGCTATTCACATTTCAGGAGGCTGGGGTAATCGGGTAACTGGGTAACCGGGAGAAGTGCCACTCTTTATAGACAGCGTGGCGGCGTTACACTGTGGTGAACCTGTTGTTGTTGTTATTGTTGATGGTTGACAATGTACATAACAATAAAATAGAGAGGAAATTGTGTGTGCTTACAGTAAATGCAACCAGGCAATTGAATCAAACGGAAGAAGATACAGCCACATTTTTCCAGACACAGAATCACACGTAACCCCAGAGTAAACTTTTAGCCTCTCTGTTTATTTCAAACCTCACAAGTAGGGTAAGGGATTACAAAATTACAGTGCTTAAACCGAAACGATTTAAGAATAGAGGAGGAGAGGGTCATATATCCGTCATAGGGGGGAATATTGAGCAGGTCATGCAAAAAGCTGTTGTCTGGGAGAAGGCCTCCATTATAATAGCACCCTTTGTGTGAAAAAATAAAATTCAGCTGTCCATCCATAGGTCAGTGCAAAAATAGTAATAGATATATGCATAGAAAGAAAGTTGTGAATATATAGTATATACTTTAACTGCGGAACTATAGACAGACACACTGACTGACTGTACAGTACATACACTTGTACAGTGACCCCCCTGCTCTCCCCAGAGTCTCCGAGCCCAAAGCAGAAACTCTTAAACCGGTCTAGCCATAAACAGTCTCACATCAAATATGACAGGTTTATATGATTCTAATACGGAGGTGTCTTTCCAAATAAAAGCCATACACTGGATTCCCTTTAAAGGGGGCTGTCACTCAAAACCGCCTTGACTAAACACAAAAGTACATTCCAAATGGCACCGTATTCCCTATTTAGTGCACTACTTTTGACAAGTCTTATCAAAAGAAGTGCACTATGTAGGGAATAGGGTGTCATTTGGGACAAATCCAAAAGCATGAAAGCTTGACCTCCACAGTGAGAGAGCATCATTGGACAGACAGAGAAACGACCGTGGACACACAACAGACATGCTTTGTTTCCCAACCAGAGAAGAAGAATAATGTACAACGTTTACATTTATCAATCCAATACCATGTACTGTAATTACAAATGAAAAGCCAATATGTGCCATTAAGGACATAGGATTAGGAACCAGTGGATAGAAATGGGGGTTCTATATTTTTTAGGATGTGTACTTTTTTGTAGATGGTTATCATTTCATATAAATGTACAAGCTACAAATATGTGGTTAACTGTTATAGACCTTTATCATACCCAAATACAGTGTTTGTAGAGCACCAATATACACCAACATACTGTACATGATCATAGCAACCATATCATAGCCAATGTACATGATCATAGCAACCATATCATAGCCAATGTACATGATCATAGCAACCATATCATAGCCAATGTACATGATCATAGCAACCGAAGACAGGAAGTATAGGTGAGAATTCTGAAAATATAATTTCTCAACCTTATACATAGAGATATTTTGTGGTTAGATAAATGCTTTGTATTGTCTTTACCGGTGCAAACTCTTAAAGAGCACCTCAATTTGCTTACTTTGCAGTCTCCCTCGACGATCTCGTTCTTTCTTGAGAGGACTATATGATGAATAATCATGAGGTTTTGGGTGCAGCAGTACCAACGGTATACAAAATATATGCAAAGTAACTACGTTTCAAACCCCAAGGACACTGCGACACAAATATTATGATTGCGCGTGCAAAGGCATATTTAACAAACAATAAAGTACATTTTCCTAATTGATTCAGACATTACTCCACGATTACATGTTATGTCTTTGTTTCTGGGTGGTATTCATTAGGCACTAAATGGAAGAAAATTGACCAAAACAGGGAGGGATCACTTGGACTGAGAAACGCCCTAATGAATACGACTCGTTTTCTCTTTCGTTGTCTAATCTGCCATTGTTGAGTTGTCACGCTAACGCTAACGCTACCACTAACGCTACCACTGACGCTAACGCTACCACTAACGCTAGCTGGGTCCCAAAACTAAGCATCAACATAATTAGCAGCTAAGTCCTGCACATCGTCTTGTTTGAAACAGCATGCATTACGCAAGGGAACATTTCAATGACTCATCTTTTGTTGAGAATCAAAAGTTCAGCACGGGGTCACGCACACTCCCACAGCCATCGTAACAGAGAGTTCTGTTTCAGAACAGCCTTTGCGGAATAGGCCTAGCCTACACTTTGCGAAGGTTCTCACTTCTCCTTTCTAATATCAGATTCAGCACCAGATCAAAGTCACAGTAGTACCCCTTTCCTGCAGTCAAATGACCAAATCGCCCTCTAGTGGCCTCATGGGTGGAATGTTATTCATATTTTTTTAAATTAATAAACATGATTTAAAAAACCTGCCAAAAATCCGGTGTTTCTATGTCAAACGATTGTGTTATATCTCAGTCTTCTGTGATGTATATAAAGTGCAATATTGGGATGCAAACTCAAAATGGTATACATTTCAACTCCATATCTGACATGGTACAGGTGTCTTCTTTTTTGTGTGTGAGGTGTATACTTTTGTTTCAAAGTAGATTTGTTTAAGACTACCAAGAAACACTCTGTGTGACCCTGATTTAGCCCACTACAGTAAAAGGTTAAAATACACATGATCTTAAGGCCTAATAGCATAAAGTGTGTCACAGATTCCTTTAGTGAAATTTAGTTTAAAAGACAAATGCTCTGTGACAGGCTTTGTGGAGTGAAATTGTGTGCAAACTGTGTTAATATCGCTTTGAACGTATCACAGAGTTGACTACTGCTGCTGAAGGGTTGGTTTGTATCCGCAGGCCGGGAAGTCGAGCCCAGCCTGCTCGGCTGCTTCTGTCTGCATGCGATGATGGCCTGTACTATACAGTGGCGCAAACAGGCCCAGTGGTGAAAAGACAGAAGTTAGTTAAGGCATCAATAGAGGCACTAGTACTGCACGTGACAGCCGAGCTTGGCATTACGTGAGGCAGCGGAACAAGAGCTCCCTGTTAGCTTAGCTTAGCGGCAGGGCTGGGAGGTTTCCAAAGATTAGAAAGGGGTTACAGTACCTTGCTTCTGCCACAGTCTCTGGATACAATGTCTCATTTGATGCCAGAGGCCCAATTCACGGTCAGCTCAGAGCCGTGTGTTACCTAGTGATGTAGTAAATCATACTAGGCTATACTCAGAGAGTAAATGTAGTAACATACACTACAAGGGCAACTACACCAAAATACATATATATCTAGAGAGGTTAGACACGACATTCAAATGGGACAAGTTAGAAGCGGGAAATGATTTCAAAAGGAACAGGAGAGACTATAGCAGGCAGTGAATAGTCCTCAAATCTACTTTACAACTGAAGTAATACTTAAAACAGGATCATCACCACTTTGTTTGAGGAGCAATCTGCTTTCAGTAAACGTGTGGTACAAAGCTCTTTATGGCAGTAAATGTATTACTAAAAACAAATGGTATGGTTGATGGTGATGGGAGATGGAAAACCTCAGTTACAGAACAAAAAACACAGACAATGTGAATGGTTTCATGTATTTTTGAAGAGTAAACAGAATGAAAAAAATATACACAGACAACTGAGACACACCAAGAAGCAGTGCCAAGAATTTCAAATAAAAAAACACATATTTTGTCAATCTAATTTGTGCCAAATGTACACTACATGACCAAAAGTATGTGGACACCTGCTTGTCGAACATCTTATTCCAAAATCATGGGCATTAATATGGAGTTGGTCCCCCCTTTGCTGCTTTAACAGCCTCCACTCTTCTGGGAAGGCTTTCCACTAGATGTTGGAACATTGCTGCGGGGACTTGCTTCCATTCAGCCACAAGAGCATCAGTGAGGTCGGGCACTGATGTTTGGCGATTAGGCCTGGCTCGGAGTTGACGTTCCAATTCATCCCAAAGGTGTTCGATGGGGTTGAGGTCAGGGCTCTGCGCAGGCCAGACAAGTTCATCCACACCGTTCTCGACAAACCATTTCTGTATGGACGCTTTGTGCATGGGGGCATTTTTATGCTGAAACAGGAAAGGGCCTTCCCCAAACTGTTGCCACAAAGTTGGAAGCACAGAATCATCTAGAATGTCATTGTATGTTGTAGCGTTAAGATTTCCCTTCACTGGAACTAAGGGGCCTAGCCAGAACCATGAAAAACAGCCCCAGACCATTATTCCTCCTCCACCAAACTTTACAGTTGGCACTATGCATTGGTTCTCCTGGCACCCGCCAAACCCAGATCTGCCAGATGGTGAAGCATGATTCATCACTCCAGAGAACGCATTTCCACTGATCCAGAGTCCAATGGCGGTGAGCTTTACACCACTCCAGCAGACGCTTGGCATTGTGCATGGTGATCTTAGGCTTGTGTGAGGCTGCTCGGCCATGGAAGCCCATTTCATGAAGCTCCCGATGAACAGCTTTTGTGCTGACGTTGCTTCCAGAGGCAGTTTGCAACCGACTACAGTGTATTTTGACATACTATGCGATTCAGCACTCGGCGGGTCCATTCTGTGAGCTTGTGTGGCCTACCACTTCGCGGCTGAACCGTAGTTGCTCCTAGACGTTTCCACTTCACAATAACAGCACTTAAAGTTGACCGGGACAGCTCTAGCAGGGCAGAAATTTTACGAATTGACTTGTTGGAAAGGTGTCATCCTATGACGGTGCCACGTTGAACGCCACTGAGCTCTTCAGTAAGGCCATTCTACTGCCAATGTTTGTCTATGGAGATTCCATGGTTGTGTGCTCAATTTTATACACCTGCAGCAACGGGTGTGGCTGAAATAGCAGAATCCACTCATTTGAAGGGGTGTCCAAATACTTTTGTATATATACTGTAACAGCTCAATGGTATGCGTAAAGAAATATGGAATCGATAACAACAATTAATTTAAAAAAAGGTTACTTCATGTCAAATCAGCGGCGAGCTGGAAATGTTTTATCGTCATTGAACACCCATATATACACATAAGATCAAGCTCCCAGCTGCATTCCACTCAGAAATTATTGCACAGTAAGCCACTTTGGGCTTGTCATGGTCACCCCCATAAACCCCTGTATAAAAATAGAACAAGAACATTAACACACTAAACAAGTCTTCATCTTTTCTGACAAGCACCGCCTCGGCCAGCTCAGCCCCAGCCTGCCTGCAACAATAACCGTGAGCCACAGCACAGTGTGAGTCTGAAGAGTTCAGTTTCTCTCACTGCTAACCTGCTAAGTCCCCACAGAACATGCTGTTTTTTTTTTCCAGAAATAGTTAATCTATTTTCCTTTCCTTCCATGTTTTTGCTCCTCCGTGGTCCGACAGCTTCCCACTGGCCATTTTCTCTCCACAACACTCTTGTTCCTCCAGGAAACTGGCCAGTTCGGAACAGCAGGTATTCTGGGGTGTTTCTCATCGCCGTTGACCCAGAACCTTGGCACTCCTGTGACAGTCCCAGAAGAGCATGACTAGGAGATTCTGAAATAAAGTGATTTTGCTCTCAGAATCAGCCTGTCAAGAGTAGCCTGTAGAGTGAGTGGGATGTCCTCCTAAACCAGGAATGGCAGGTGTCCTCCTAAACCATGGTCTCCAACCCGATGAGCTTTGGCGTGAGGATGCGCGGTGTGATGCCGTTGTTCAGGTCCTCCTCGAACTCCAGCAGCTGGCCCATGAAGTTGAGGTTGGGGGAGATGATGGGCCGCCGGGTCTTGACGAACTTGTAGGCGTCCGTCATGGTCATCCAGGTGTGCTTCATCAGGTAGGCGATGACTATGGTGGCCGAGCGAGACACGCCCGCCTGGCAGTGGATCAAGAGGCCCATGTCCGCTTGCCGTGCTTCCTCTGAAGAGAGAGGAGAGAGGAGCATTTTTGTCTCTTTAAAATGGGGCTCAAATGAAACATCGGACAAAATAGACTTTAACAATAACAGAGGAGCATTTCCATCTGTTCCGAATAGAACTCATCATGATAACATAAAATATGCAGTACAAAATAGACTTCAACAACATCACATTAATGTTTTAGTAATGTCACTAATGTCATTTTTCGCTGCAGTCCGCTCACTCAAAACCTACACTGTGCAATACTGTATACTAACTGTAGTGCTAACAAATCCAAGTTCAGACAACCTGCACAGCCTCTGATCGATAAAAACAAGCCATTTGAATATGTATCAACCACTCTAAATCACCGACTAACTCCAATCATAATGTGGCCTGAAAGTACATAATAAAACAGAATCGTTTCAATGAGAAATGAGATCCCACCACTGCCGCCGACTGCAACCTCCTCCCTGCCCTCCCCTATACACTTCTACTGTACATGCCAGCATGCAATGACTAGACTTAGCGAACTTTTCCTGCATACCAATGAATTCAAACGCCTCCTCAAAGTACTGCCTCAAGTTCTGCTTGTTGCTGTCGGTGGCTGGCAGCCGCTTGTAGCTGAACAGGCCTGTGTCGTAGTGGTAGAGCGGCAGGTGGGTGGTGACGTTGAGCACAAAGCCGATGTTGTAGCGTTGTAGCCTGTGGGCGTCCTGCGCATCATGCTCGTTGCCCAGGTACAGGAAGGGCAGGATGGGCGTCAGCTCGGCGTCCTCGATGTCCGGTGTGGAGGGCAGGGACATGGAGTGAGGTTGCGCCCCCGACTTGCCGGAGGCCCCGCTGACGCCCATGCCGGCGTCCAGGCTCTCGTGGAGGTGGAGGGAGTGGTCACACAGGTTCTGGTGGTTCTGTCTGAAGCAGCTGAGGCCCCCTGGGTAAAAAACAGACAACAACAGGATGAGTCAGCGGAAAACAAATATGTTTATATCCTGTGACACTTAAGTTAACATCTGCAGATATAATCCATGATCCTACAATGGCAGGTCACGACTGTTAGTTGGGGAGTTTTGACCGGAACAAGTCTGCTACGTGTCTATTGGAGGGAAATATTACTGTAGAACAAAAAAAACACTCCCTCTTCAAATCAGGGTTGATTTGAAAAAGCTGTTCAAAAGAGGACATTGTATTATCATATCTTTGTACTCCATGACAAATGCCGTGCAGCCGAAACGTTTCTGTCTGTCGGGCTAGATCACCTAAGATCCTGTTCATCTGTTTCTGTCTGTCGGGCTAGATCACCTAAGATCCTGTTCATCTGTTTCTGTCTGTCGGGCTAGATCACCTAAGGTCCTGTTCATCTGTTTCTGTCTGTCGGGCTAGATCACCTAAGGTCCTGTTCATCTGTTTCTGTCTGTCGGGCTAGATCACCTAAGGTCCTGGAGTAATGTCCTATTTCTCATAATTTAGAGAGTGAGGGAAACATTCAAAATGGCCCAAGGCAATCCACACAGCATTCCCTCTGAAAAAATAGCTATCATCACTCTCCTCAGAGCCAAAGATGGCAGCCAAATAAAGATGATAAATGTTGAACATGTGTCTTGCTAGAACTCTGCACTCCTTCAAATAAAACCCTGTAACATAATGTTAACACACACAGGGCCTGAGAGGGAGGCAGATACTGTCAGTTACTTTCAGTTAGTGTGTGTGGGGGGGGGGGGTGGACTTTGCACCTGTTGCCATGACGCATCGGCACCCTGGGAGGGGTGGGAAGGACGGGTGGGGGGGGGGGGGGGGGGGGGTGCATGGGGGCCTGACACAGAGTATCAGTTCATGTATTGTTTGCATTACAAGGGCTGACATCATGCCAAGTGAGGTGATCATATGGCCTCACCGGCTTCGCCATGGAAATGGGGAAGGTGGCGATCTCCTATCAACTGTCGACTGGGGAGGATGTTGTAAATCATAAGAGGTTCATAAAACCAGTCTAACTAATAGGGCCACACTAAACAAACAAATTCAACTGCTATGTTTCTCCATCTCTCTCTCACACTCCCTCCAAGGGGGATGTCGTTATAATAATTACACAACAGTAAAAAATGGAATGAGAGTCTCTTCACACAAGCCCTAAAGGCGTTGAACTTTACTACAGTTGAATAAATCATAGTGACCAACACAACCTAGTAATGATATTACTAGGTGTGTGTGTGTGTGTGTGTGTGTGTGTGTGTGTGTGTGTGTGTGTGTGTGCGCACACGTGTGCTTGTGAGGGAAGATTTAACTAATCGTGCATTAAATATCCTTCTCTTTGTCAATTTTTCAACAAACTAACAGATTTGAGTGTTCACCCAAAATACAGCTCATCTTAGAAAAAATCGAAATGCTCTTCTATTGCACATTTTCAAGCGATGCCTTTCTTGTGAGGATGCACTCAATTGGTAAATAGCTTCTTTTGAGAGGCGAGAGTGAGAACGAACAGCAGAAGAATCTTCCGGCACATTGTGGAGAGAGATGAGATCTGTGAAGTGTAACCGGCTGTCATTATCTTTCGACTATCTCACAGAGGAAAGTACCTTTAAGTGTCTCTTTCACTTTCAGAAGCCGCCAGCACAGTTCCTCACTCATAAATTACCACTTCCCTGAAGCGTTGAAGGCTTTTCATACTCCGTTTCCACTTTCCAGTGCTATCCATCAACCGTAAGGTCCACAGTCTTATATCAATAATGATGTTTGCTTATGACACGTTTGACAGCAACAGTATATAACTAATTCCTACATTCAGGTCTGGGTCACTGGAAAAAAGGCCAGTCAGGACTAGAAATGTCTGCTGTTTTCTAAATCAGAAGTATGCCATCCAAGTTCCAACAACCATATTGTTATATTTATTTTGATTACTTATTCTTCTGGAGAAAGCCCAATGATTAAACCATAGAATAAAACACTCTTTCACATGTCATTAATGTATAAGTACATTTTAACTAACATTTGGTATCCCTCATTAATGGGAATATTAAATACCATTTGTACATTTCACAAACAATTCTCATGAAATCAAAATAGTACTGTAAGCCAAAAATATGGTTTCATGGTCTGTGTATTTCCGGCTTTGTGATCAAGTCAATTTTGATTGCAGGGTCATAACTGATTAAAGAAAACCACAAATTCTTGATCCAACAAAACATGATTTACAAAATAGCCTCCAACACTCTACTCAGCAAATTGGATGTAGTCTATCACAGTGCCATCCGTTTTGTCACCAAAGCCCATATACTACCCACCATTGTGACCTGTACGCTCTCGTTGGCTGGCCCTCACTACATATTCGTCGCCAATCCCACTGGCTCCAGGTCATCTATAAATCTCTGCTAGGCAAATCCCCTCCTTATCTTAGCTCATTGGTCACCATAGCAACACACACCCGTAGTATGCGCTCCAGCAGGTATATCTCACTGGTCATCCCCAAAGCCAACACCTCCTTTGGCCGCCATTCCTTCCAGTTCTCTGCTGCTAATGACTGGAACGAATTGCAAAAATCTCTGAAGCTGGAGACTCTTATCTCCCTCACTAACTGTAAGCATCAGTTGTCAGAGCAGCTTACCGATCACTGCACCTGTACACAGCCCATCTGTAATTAGCCCACCCAACTACCTCATCCCCATATTGTTATTTATTTTGCTCATTTGCACCCCAGTATCTTTATTTGCACATCATCTTCTGCACATCTATCACTCCAGTGTTAATACTAAATTGTAATTATTTTGCACTATGGCCTATTTATTGCCTTACCTCCATAACTTACTACATTTGCACACACTGTATACAGATTTTCTATTGTGTTATTGACTGTACGTTTCTGTTTACCCCATATGTAACTCTGTGTTGTTGTTTTTATCGCACTGCTTTGCTTTATCTTGGCCATGTCGCAGTTGTAAATGAGAACTTGTTCTCAACTGGCTTACCTGGTTAATGATTAAAGTACAAAATATTAAAAAAGGCATTTTAAAGAGGAATGAAAGAAGATGGTGATGATGATGATGATGATGATGATGAATAGATCACGTTCTATTTATTTTTCTAAACCTCCTCAAAGAGACTAGGACTGTGTCCCAAAATGTCACCCTATCCCCTTTTAGTGTACTACTTTTGACCAGGGTCCTAGGTAGTGCAGTATCCTCCATGATCAATAGTAGAATGAATCATGTCTGGTTATAAATTACACTGATACTGGGAAACCCATATGACGATTGTTCCTCCAGACACGCACGCACGCACGCACGCACACACTCACACACACACACACAGTGTTCTCTGCTGTACGGTGGTGGCGGTTGAGCCTGACGAGATATCGACAGAGTCATACATATCAGGAAATACAGGGTCGTGGCGCTCAGGGCTGATTAGTTTGATTCCTGCAGCAGCAGATGCCTGCATTTCATGGGAATTAAATCAGAAATAAAGACCAAGACATTCTGCTCTGCTCTCCTATAGCCCGCTCTCTGTTTCCTCACAGCCGCAGACAGAGATGGAGGCAGATGGAGGGGGAAGGAGGAAGGGTGGAGGAAGCTCCTCAGGAGATGAGGAGAGGAGAGGAGAGGAGAGGAGAGGAGAGGAGAGGAGAGGAGAGGAGAGGAGAGGAGAGGAGAGGAGAGGAGAGGAGAGGAGAGGAGAGGAGAGGAGAGGAGAGGAGAGGAGAGGAGAGGAGAGGAGAGGAGAGGAGATGGCATCTGTCACGGTTTCGGCCGAGGCTGCTCCTCCTCCTGGTTCGGGCAGGCTTCGGTGGTCGTCGTCCCCGGAGTACTAGCTGCCACCGATCTATGTTTCATGTTCGTTTGGTTTGGTCTTGATGTTGTACACCTGTGTCTATTTAGTTCTCGTTGTGTGTGCCTGTGTTTGTGTGTGATTGCGCTTCTGTTTCGTGTTGGAGCTACATTTTCCCTCCAGTGTTTTGGAGAGGTTATTTTGCACATGTTTGTGCGCCGTTTGTTTTGTCGCCTGTGTGCGCCGTGTATTCGCCTTCGGGCTTATTGTGCTTTTGTCTTTTATGAATATTGCACTAAAGCCTTTGGACTGAGCCTCTGCGTCCTGCGCATGATTCATACACCACACCCACCTTCAGCACCCCTTGACAGCATCAAGGTGCTACAATATGACCTCCCTGCAAGACCGCGTCTGCGAGGCAGACGGCAGACACACAGGAGCTGCTGCCTCAACAGGGCTCCGTATTTACTAAGAGCTGCCTCCCAGCCTCTGCACAACAGCCAAAGCATGTTACATACCCTGACAGGACTGGAGCTGCCCGATGACTTAAGCTCTCTCTCTCTGTGTGTGTGTGTGTATGTGTGTGTGTGTGTGTGTGTGTGTGTGTGTGTGTGTGTGTGTGTGTGTGTGTGTGTGTGTGTGTGTGTGTGTGTGTGTGTGTGTGGGTGTGGGTGATTGGGTGCGAGCGAAGCATCAGCGTGTGAAGGATAAGGGTCAGCTGATACTGTTAGAATCAGACTTACATACAGTATATACTGTAGTTTATAGATGGGTAGTACACAGTAAATGACAGTATGAGTTAAGAGGCAAGACAAAACGGCCTTACATTTACTATACACCTAACATGAGCCTATTCCTCAGGAACATACATTCAATAGCAAATATCACCATTGCACCTCTACCAACTCCATTGCCTATTGCCACCTACCTCTTCACAACAGAAGTATACAGACAGGCTGGCCTTTGAAAAATAAATTAGACCGACCAACTTAAAGCTATGTACACCAATCTCTCTCATCCTCTCAGAGACAAACCAGAGCTCTAAAAAAATTAGCTCTTTAATCAAAACAGTCCTGTGGCTTTATATATTAGAGACTTCATCTTCCCTCATCCTTGAACTAATCCAGTTAAAGATTTCATCATCTTCCCTCATCCTTCAATCATTCCAGATAAAGACCTCATCCTCTTCCCTCATCCTTCAACCATTCCAGATAAAGACCTCATCCTCTTCTCTCATCCTTCAACCATTCCAGATAAAGACCTCATCCTCTTCCCTTATCCTTCAACCATTCCAGATAAAGACCTCATCCTCTTCCCTCATACTTCAACCATTCCAGATAAAGACCTCATCCTCTTCCCTCATCCTTCAACCATTCCAGATAAAGACCTCATCCTTTTCCCTTATCCTTCAACCATTCCAGATAAAGACCTCATCCTCTTCCCTCATCCTTCAACCATTCCAGATAAAGACCTCATCCTCTTCTCTCATCCTTCAACCATTCCAGATAAAGACCTCATCCTCTTCCCCTATCCTTCAACCATTCCAGATAAAGACCTCACCCTCTTCCCTCATCCTTCAACCATTCCAGTTAAAATCCCAGGTGTTTCTACTTTGACTCGTTGAAGCTTAAACACAACCTCAAGAGAGCCTCCAGAGAGCCACCAGAGAACCTCCAGAGAACCTCAAGAGAACCCCCCCATTATGGTCTAAAAGGCCACACTGATCCTAGATCAGCACTGCTACACTACCTACTCTGAGAGCTCAAAAAGCTGGTATCTTTTAATGTTAACTGTACTATGCTGACTGTGTTTTACAAATATTCTATTGAGAGTATTTTAACTTTTTGTATTGTTTGTTGGTTTGGCAGTGCCACCGTCAGCCAGAAAAATATGCTGAGAAGGATTATCACCACAGCAAACAAGGTACTTGGAGTCAAACAGAGAGGCTTGGATGAGATCTTTAAGGTCAGGGACCTCAGCAAGTCTCACAAAATAATTTTTGACCCAAGCCACCCCCTGTACCCGGACTTTGAACTACTCCCCTCTGGGTGCAGGTATAGGGCAGCCCCCCGGCAGGAATAACAGAACTAGACAATAACTTGTGCCAGGTGTGATATCCCTCCTTAACAGCTCGGCTAATGTTCCTATCGACCCAGTAAGGCCAGCAGGCTAGTCTCTTTTTATTAGTATGTAACTGTTATGAATTTTGTTTTGTCAATTAGTTTTCTACTGTATTTAAACGCCACTTTAAACGTGTACATGATACTGCACCAACATTTCGCCATGGGGACAATAAAGTCAGTAAAGTAAAGATTTCGCCCTACCTTTGAGAACGATGGGGTCCTTGCCCTCCCTCTTCAGCGAATCCAGGACCACATGAAGGGGCTGTGAGGAGGTCACCCTCTGGGGATCCATGGTGCTCTCGTCGTACACCACAATCTCTTTGGAGAAGATGCCCTTGAAGGAGTCCTTGCCGGAGGACTCGCGGCACGAGAGCAGGTCCAGCACGGTGATCTTGCCCTGCTGCAGCCGCCGCCGGCTGATCTTGTCCGAACAGTTGATGTGCACCGCGCCCTGGATGTGGCTCTTGTTGTAGTCCATGAAGGGCCGGCAGTCGATGATGACCGGCACCGGCCCGACCGGGTGGCCCATGGGGCACCTGGCCATCCGCTTGGCCAGCTCATTGGGGTGGATGACCCGTATGGTGGACCCTAGAGCCTTGGTTGGGCCAGAGGTGAGACTAGGGTCGCTGAAGGCCTCATGGTGAATCATGCCCATGCCCGTGACTATGGGGTTGGAGGAGGCAGGTCCAGCATAGCTGAGGTTGGGGCTGCTGGCGCTCACCTTGCTGATGTGGCTCTGGTGGCTCTGCTGCTGGCGCTGGTTGTGCTGGCTGTCCTTCTCGTAGGTGGTGACCGAGCAGCAGCTGGCACTGGTGCATCCACACGACAGGGAGCGCGTGGAGCCGTTGGATGAGGGCATATACGTGAGGTTGGTCGCCCGGATCTTCACCACTGTGGTGCTGATGACGGTCGTCTTGCTGACGGGGCTGGTGACAGTAGTGTCCAGGTAGCTGGTGTCCAGGTAGCTGGTGTCCAGGCGCAGTCGGAGTTCCTGAGGTCGGATCGGCCTTGGCAGCGCCACCACAATTCTGTCGTCGAGGGGAGATGGAGGCATGGGGAGGCTGAGGGTCGGGACGTCTACGGAGAACTACAAGAAGCCAGTCTGGGGAAAGATTGAGAGAACAGATCATGGGCCGTATTAACCGTCTCAGAATAGGAGTGCTGATATAGGATCAGGTCCCCCTGTCCATGTAATCCTATCCTAAATCAGCGCTCCTACTCTGAGATGCTCTATGAATACGGGCCCAGATCAGGATTGTGAGTGCACCAATGGACTCTGTGGAAAAAAGCACCAATATAGACTCAATAATAAGCATAACATGGAGGTTTGTTGATGACCAATGTCATTGACTCTCTCAGGGGACAATGAATGAGATAGGCTACAGGTACCTATCTGTTTAATCAAACATGCATAATACTAAACGGCTATACAGTAACCAAATACAGTATAAGCTACGTAAAGGTCTGCAGGGCAACTGCCACAGTTGGTGGGAATAACCAGGTAAACGAGAGAGACTACTGCCCATTTAGTAAGGGTGAGTATTAACCATATAATGTATTATATAAACCCTTGAAAATGTGGCATGTCCCATGAAAATGCATGACCAAATAATATAATCATCACAAATATATGCAGGTAATTTAACAGCCCAAATGTCTGGGCTAGGCAGCTAGGCTACTGTCAATTTCACAGTGCAGTGCAATAAGCCTTTGAATTTTGTGTGACAAAAAGACTGATGAATACTGCATCAACGTGTAGGGCTACACCGCAGTTTGGTCTCTCTCCCAATCACATCTGGAACAGTCATGGGGTGCGCGAAAAGCTGCTTAAATGTAATCAAACGTTGCAATAACGATGTAATAAGCCATGTCCTCACATCAAAAGACGCCCATGGTGGCGTCCTCTGACCCGTGCATTCAGTATCCAGCTGTTTCAACTAGCTGGTAAGGTAAAAAGAAATCACAGGGTGTACATACATTCATTGACGAGACCGGCATAAGGACGTGCTGTGAATAAAGTATCGAGGGTTTCGTCAGTACAGACACGGTTTGTAAATGTAATTTCATTTCAAAGACGCCGCGGTTGCACAAACGTATCTCATATAGTGAAACATTGTATAATTTGTAGAGACAGTCTAGGACTGGATAATTTTGCCAACAGCGGGTTACAGATATAGTTGTTCACAGTGATATTGAAGAGCCAACAGTTTATCATCTGTCAGAGGTTTACATGAACGAAATTAGTTAATGGAACGAACTGAAGGCTTCAGGATATCGAATATAGTTTCATGTGAAATTCCCATAATCTGACATCGTTCATACTTCGCACTGTTATGACGTGAAATTTCTGAGTATGGCATGTTCATGTTGATAAACGTCAGCGCTGTGGCCGTTTCATTTCTATACAACTTGTAAGCTATAGCATAGATAATGAAGTGTCGCCTATTAAAGGATTTTAAAAAGTGTACTTACATTTTTGTAAAACAATATTTTGTGCGCTCCGGGTGAATGTAGAAGGATTTTATTTACGCTCAACGTTGACTCCATTCAGCCTGTCCCAGCGCCGTGGATCCGCAACATTTTTACTTTTAGCCTGGTCCCAAGTAATAATATACAAGGGGTCAGCCAACCTAGGGAAGTAGCACTTTAGGATTGACACGGGTATGAGCCAATACACGAGTTCATTCATATTAAATTCATTCGTTTTGTACAGTGAGAGCGCAGCAAGAGCCAACCCCGTAGTGGGTGGGAGTTCAGCTGCGGGTGTTAAATCAGCTCCCTGAGGATAGGGCTGTCGAATGAACAATGCTTACAGTCCCATGTATTAGAGTAGGGTGATGTCACTGGCAACCAATCAATAGGCCGATACTAGGCAAAGCGAAGCAAGCGTAGACTGAATACTCCATGCTCTGATGAGAAGTTCGTTCATCCTTGGTTTCGTTGCCCCGCGCCGTCTTTAATGCGTTATTCTCCGCCTATTGATGCAGAAAATGCAGTCGTAATAACCCTAGTAGTTGCATGCAATTTAATTGTTTAATAATGGTGCATGGTATTGTTTTATCAGGGGGGAAACTGATGTATAGTGATTAATATGATATTACAATTGTATATTGCATGATATTACAATATTATATGAGGTTAGGTGCCTTCAACCAGCCTATCGGTGAAAATTCTCATTGAAAATGCTCTTGACAAATTGCTCATTGAGGGGTGTATCATGGATAATTATAGTAATGTGAAGTCCTGCTCCAGAATAGCCATGCCTGGGTTCTCACCAATAATTTATACATACACTAGATGACTTGTAGTTGGTGCTGTGTTGAAGCCACTGTGCCTCCATCTTGGCACTCCCCCATGGTGTTAAAACAATATTTTGGAAGCTATAGAAATGCATTTATTAATGTCTACATTCGTTTTTGCCACATTTATTCTATAACAGACACCTTAATGCATTCTTTAAAATTATATTATGTGGCCTAAAAATAAAATGAAAGTATCTTTAAAGTATCTTTTTTTTTAGATTACTAATGTTACTGTCCCCACTACAACAAAAAATACTTAAATACATGTAATTTTGTCCTTGAAACATTTATTTGAAATACTGTAGAATTCCATTCATTCCAATGGAGGACTACTCCTGCTGGGGAGTGCCAATATGGCTGACTGGTGGCTTCAAAGCCTCTCAATGGCAAATATACATAGCATTAGTAATCCAGGGTTTACAGTGAGGGAAAGAAGTATTTGATCCCCTGCTGATTTTGTACGTTTGCCCACTGACAAAGACATGATCAGTCTATAATTGTAATTTTAAAAACGCATGTCAAAAATGTTATAAATTGATTTGCATTTTAATGAGGGAAATAAGTATTTGACCCCTCTGCAAAACATTACTTAGTACATGGTGGCAAAACCCTTGTTGGCAATCACAGAGGTCAGACGTTTCTTGTAGTTGGCCACCAGGTTTGCACACATCTCAGGAGGGATTTTGTCCCACTCCTCTTTGCAGATCTTCTCCAAGTCATTAAGGTTTCGAGGCTGACATTTGGGAACTCGAACCTTCAGCTCCCTCCACAGATTTTCTATGGGATTAAGGTCTGGAGACTGGCTAGGCCACTCCAGGACCTTAATGTGCTTCTTCTTGAGCCACTCCTTTTCTTTTTTTTTCTTCTTTTTTTTTTCACCTTTATTTAACCAGATAAGCCAGTTGAGAACAGGTTCTCATTTACAACTGCGACCTGGCCAAGATAAAGCAAAGCAGTGCAATAAAAACAACACAGAGTTACATATGGGGTAAAAAACATAGTCAAAAATACAACAGAAAATATATATACAGTGTGTGCAAATGTAGCAAGTTATGGAGGTAAGGCAATAAATAGGCTATAGTGCAAAATAATTACAATAGTATTAACACTGGAATGCTAGATGTGCAAGAGATTATGTGCAAATAGAGATACTGGGGTGCAAAGAGCAAAATAAAAACATATAGGATGAGGTGGGTGGCTAATTCAATGCTTGTACAGGTGCATCGTAAGTGCTCTGACAAGATGATGCTTAAGTATTGAGGAGATAAGGTCCTAGCTTCAGAACTTTTTGAATTCGTTCCAGTCATTGCAGCAGAACGGAATAGGAATGGCGGCCAAAGGGGTGTTGGCTTGGGAATGACATGAGATATACCTGCTTGTGGTGGCTTATAGTACAGATGTAGCGTGTTCATAGTTGACCGGTGACGCAGTGAGCGTGTACGCTCTCAACAACAAATGATTACAGATACAAAGTGAGGGTATGATAAGTGTCTCCAGTTCAGTAGGAGATATACAGTTTGCCTGGGAGTTCGTTCAGTCATGTTGCAGCAGAGAAAATGATAGTAAATGGGTAGCCAGCCGTAAAAGGATGGGGGGGGGGCAGTGCAAATAGTGGGTAGCATGTGCACGGAGTTTATGGTGGGTAGTTAAAGTGTGGAAGTCTTTGGTGATTGGCACTCACGGTAACGGCGTGCATGTGTAGCAGAGAAAGAGTCTAGACTAGGGTGGCAGTCTTGACATTTGAGGGCTTTCTGAACTGGTGGGTAGTATATGGGCTTGGTGACAAGGATGGTGTGATAGATAATCCATTGCTAGAGATGTTTGGAGGCATTTTAAATTACATCGCCAAAGTCAAGGATCGGTAGGATAGTCAGTTTCACGAGGGCATGTTTAGCAGCATGAGTGAAGGACGGCTTTGTTGCGAAATAGGAAGCCGATTTTAGATTAACTTTGGATTGGAGATAGATGCGTAATGTGAGTCTGGAAGGAGAGTTTACGGTCTAACCAGACACCTAGGTATTTGTAGTTGTCCACATATTCTAAGTCAGACCCACCGAGAGTAGTGATTCTAGTCGGGCGGGCGGGTGCAAGCAGCGTTCGATTGAAGAGCATGCATTTAGTTTTACTAGCGTTTAAGAGCAGTTGGAGGCCACGGAAGGAGTGTTGTATGGCGTTGAAGCTCGTTTGGAGGTTTGTTACACAGTGTCCAATGAAGGGCCAGATGTATACAAAATGGTGTCGTCTGCGTAGAGGTGGATCTGAGAGTCACCAGCAGCAAAAGCGACATCATTGTTAAGCATATCCCAGTTTAGGTCACCAAGCAGTACGAACTCTGAGGATAGATGGGGGGCAAGCAATTCACATATGGTGTCCAGGGCACAACTGAGGGCTGAGGGGGGTCTGTAGCAAGCGGCAACAGTGAGAGATTTATTTCTGGAAAGGTGGGTTTTTAGAAGTAGAAGCTCAAACTGTTTGGGCACAGACCTGAATCAATACCCTACTCAAGATATTCTAATGTAGGCCTATGGCTTACACATGTAGGCTATGTTATATGGCCATTTACACGTTCATATTCTCCCTAATGTAGATATGATACGGCTCATGTCTCTGCATATAAAACCTTGAACCAATACACATTTTGTTATGTTACAGCCTTATTCTAAAATTTATTAAATTGTTTTTTCCCCTCATCAATCTACACACAATACCCCATAAAAACAGAGCAAAAACAGGTTTTGAGAAATAAAAAACG